CTAGCAACAAGAAGCTAGTAGGTGGAGGCCATTGCTATTAGGTTGGATGCCAATATATAATGCTAGAAACAATAAGCTAGTAGGTGGAGGCCATCGCTATTAGGTTGGAGGCCATTACTACTAGGAACAAGAAGTTTCTAGCAACAAGAAGCTAGTAGGTGGAGGCCATTGCTATTAGGTTGGAGGCCATTGATACTAGAAACAAGAAGCTAGTAGGTGGAGGCCAGCGCTATTCGGTTGGAGGCCATTACTACTAGGAACAAAAAGCGCAGCTACTAGCAACAAGAAGCTAGTAGGTGGAGGCCAGCGCTATTAGGTTGGAGGCCATTATATAATACTAGAAACAAGAAACTACTAGTTACTAGTAACAAGAAGCTAGTTTTGTTGATGCCGGACTTTCAAGTTAGACGATCGTCACAGTGTGGATGCCGTGGGTTCTGTTGACCGCAGTCAAGTCTGGACGGTCTGACCGCCTACAAGTCACTGTCCTTCGGTTTCTGCTCAGTTTTTAGAGAGGCAACAAGAATTGGAAACATCTTGGAAGCAACAGGATTCCCCTACGGCCACACCTGTTTTCTTGGAGTCCAGCATTATGGCATATTATGGCCATGGCCACACCTTTACCTGCTCGAATTCACTACTTAGTTAACGATGCAATCCCGCCCATGTCCCACCCCGACACAAAAGGCTACCTTGGTGATATCAAGCTGAAACGCTACACTTGATTCTCGGAGTCATCCCTTACAACGGATGTATAATTTGTTTGTTTGTGTTGCTCAACTTTGGAGATCTTTGATCAGCATGTTTTTGTCACATTGACCCATGGCCAAAGGCTCCTGTTTTTTGTTTGAACCAATCTGAGACCATTGATATGCCTGGCCAAGTAAAGAGCCATTGCCAGCTGCTAGGTCACAGTCGGTACATTGGATGCCGAATGCATCGTTTGATCCGGCATCGTCTTGTTATGTCATTGGTCCTGGTATTTGGTATCTTTGCAGTGAAAGCAATGTACCACCCCCGCTCCCGGCCGTCGGCGAGCTGTTGTGGAGCGGATCTTGACCGGGGACGTGGTGCGGATTAGCCCCGGATGTGAGACTGTGGGTCCACAGCCAGTGGAGTGCGCATCAAGAAGGACCGAGGTGATTTACGAGAACCCTTGGATCAACTTCTATCCCAGTTGACCGATTCGCAAGATCCACTTGTCACATCTTGCCATTTACTTCCCACGGGGTCGCGGCTCCAGTTTTGTTGTTTGTTCAGGCATATACCCCAAGAAAATGCTCAGCTCACCTGACTGGGTAAAGAATAGCACAGCTGTGGGATCTTCTGGTAAAATTGGAAGTTAAAAAGATCCGGGTGCTGAGACCATACAGAATCTCATTGTGGTCAAAAAGGGGAGAACTTCGGGACAGCCGAGGCCTAGCCAGGCGTCCCAAGAGGTAGGCCGCCGGCGAGATCACGCCGCCCTCAGGCCCGAAGACGCCACCTGGAGCGGGGGAAACCGGAGACCGAGACCAACCAGGTGGGGTGGTAGAGGAAAAAACCTCTTTCCAAACTAAAGAGAATTAAATGCTGTAAGGTATCATTTAAGGTCTATCTATTTCCAGGTTCCATGTGTTTTTTTTGCCGTGTGCAGTTTTTGAGCGTCATCCATCAGTTTTGGAGGCCTTAAAGCCATCCTGTATGGGCGTACATATGGTCCCGCTTATGTCACGTCCCTTGTTCATTAAGAACTCGACATGGCAAGACGCCAAAGTCAAGTAATACAAGGCAAACAAATGGATATGTAAAATATATACAAAATATATCCTCCTTACCAAGCCTTACCTTACGCCTTGCCCTGTGAATTCTGCAACTTATAAACAATTAGGGCTATAAAATGGAAATACCAGCAATTCTATTTAGAGAATGAGTTACCGACCTTTTCAAGAAATGGCCTAACCAGCAGCTGGAAAATAGTCAGGCAACAAACTGGAGGAGAGACCAATCACAAGAGTTTGTATAAAAAGACATAACCAAACACAAGATTCATTTTCTCAAATTCCAGCTTTTTTAAAATGACTTAACCGAACTCTGGAGAATCTCTTTTTCCATGACTTGCGTCGGAGTTTGGTGACTCGTGTTGCTCCCTAGCAGGAAAAAAGCTCGCTCTAAACCAAACCGGCAGTGTTTATGAATGACTTAACCGCAGTCCACATGGATGCTTTTCTGTGCTCACACTCTTGATGTGCCTCCAAACCTGTGTTCTTTATTATAGAATGACCTGCCAACCTAGGCATCTTACTAAAATCCTCTATTCCGGAGTCCCACCCTTTATGAAGTGGGCCCCCGGTAACCCATTCTGTAAAGGAACAGGATCCCCATGTCATAAAGGATAAGTCATGGAGGATCAAAAAATGGTTGATCTGATCCATCGCAGGTCAAAAGGTGGTGATGTCGGGAGACCCCTTCAGGATTCGAGTCGTTGCTCCATCCAAGAACAACCGACTGAGCTAACGTTTATATAACTCGCTGTGCGCCCGGACCATGGTAATTCTCCTTCTGAGGGTGAGGGACCACTGAGATGAATGTGGCCTCAGGCGGCATCGTGTTGAAAGAAAAAGCATGTCGACAGCCTCCGGGTTGCAGAGTGGCAGTCATGCTTTGAAGAACATGAAGCTCAGCCACCCAAAGACCAATTCCAAAAACACAAGCCGAGAGGTCGCAGAGTTGGCCGTGTGCTGTTCCTCAGAAACAAGCATGCAGCATGAGGTTTAAAGCCCATTGGTTCTCCAGCGATACCCATTGTGCCGGTGCACCAGGACGCAAGGATGACAAATTAATGACATCAATGTTAATACAGGGTCCCGCACCAGTAGGCCCTATATCTGTCAAACTGAAACTCTTGCTCGGGATTTGGATGCAGGTCCAAAGTGCAACACCATTTCGCCCATGCACACGCCAAAATGATCCAAAATGCTAGATGTTGGCCCAATTGTCTTGTCGTCCTGGTCTTTTCCGTTCCAATTTCGTTCAACATCCTTTAACCACAAAGGGAACATAAGTTCTCAAATGAGTTCTGAAACCTGTGGACAGCCCAACCCTGATAGACCAACCCTGCTGGCAGTAGAATTCACACATTATCTTGGTCCAGAAGTCCCGGAGGGACAAGGAGTCGGAGGGAGGCTCATCGGGCTCTTCACTTCTTCCACCAACGGGGACCTCATTTTCAAGTGGTTGAGAAGTGGATCGTCGTCTAGGCGACCAGCATCTTCAATGATTCAACCTCCCCACATTTTCTCCAACTTTTCCTCAGCTGGTGCTTTTCGGTCTTATCGGTCATCCTTAAGCTTTGCGCTCAAATCACTTTGCACAAGGCCTGGAAGGACCTTGGACACCCGCTCTCAACAAGAGCCGAGCAGCTGAGATTGGGATGCCGCTGGTGCTGCGCCCAAAGACATTGCCCATGGAAATGTTCCAACCTCGCCGGCAACTGACTCTGACCACTGACCAGCAAATCGCCGGCAACAAGTCTTGTTTTTTCTTACAGTGGTTTGATAGGCTCGATGGCACAGACCTTAGTCGATGTCCTTTACATGTGGGTTCACATAAACCACCTCTTGGAGCCTGCATTTTTGGGAAGGTGGAAGATGGTGGAAGAAGGTTTCACAGCGGAAGGCCGCTTCACATCACATAGCACCCACCCCCCATGCCATGAAACGCCACGGCCCAAGAGGCCGAAATGCCAACCCAAGGCGAAGCCTGCGATGTGCCAGCCCACACAGCGGGACACGTTGCAGCGTAACACGTGACTTCATTGCTCCAATGCGACATCTGGCTGAAATCAATATGCACACAAAGCTGGAAATGTATGAAATCAAGATATATCATAAGTGCAACCAGCAGAACACCATCAATACCGTGGCCTCCGCTACGCTAGGTGGTGCCTCCGTTCCCTGTCCCACCGATCGCCTAGGCGACCGCTCGTCAAGAGCACATTGAGACCGCCAGCAAGGCCACCCACAAACAAGTTCAGCCTAGGCTGCCGCGTGCGGCGACCCGCGCACGCAGCGGAGAAGCGGAGGGACGACGTGGGGATGGAACATGGTCGGGGAGTCCGTGTGAGATGCAGGAGGTTTTGGGAAACCTTCTCAACTGCCGTTGCCTGGAAAAGTGGTCTCTGGGACATACCCGACATATCCCTGTAGAGAATATTCAGCTGATTCTAGTTCTGGAGATAGTTGGCTACTTCAACATAGGTTGACGAGCTCTGGCATGAGCCACGGCACCTTTCATCCTGTACAGTACTTCTCCAGGAGAGGCTAATCTCTCTCTCTCTCTCTTCTCTGCAACGATCAAGGTGCTCATTTTGCTAGGGATGTTGCTCAAACTGTTACAGGCCCTGGGCAGGGTCCAAGCTGCTATTATAGAAACAGCCGTTAAGCTGCAACTCCTGTTTTGGGCCGCGAGCTGCAAAAGGTGAAGTCATGACATCCTACTATGTGCAAGGTACAAAGTGTACATATTACATGGAGTGAAAATACACCCCCCTCAGCTAAGGTAGCTTTGCTCCCGAAGCTGGACGCGGAAAGTGCACGAGGGCTAGTGCAGGGCACGACAGTGATGTCGGCTCGAAGCTGCATGGCAGAGTGGATGCTAGCAATCCACTGCCAACGTGGCCCTGTACGTGCATTTTAATTATTCACTCCCCGCCGCCAAAAGAAATTGAAAGTTTGGACTTGGGAGGAAAACCGCATACATTTTGACAATGGATGTCATGCAATGAATTATGCTCGCTCAGGCAAAAAGGTTGAGACTTGGCTCAACTAACGCCAATGCCACTGGCTCCGACTCGAGCTCCAGTCCCACGAACGGCGGTCCCACTGCCGCTGCTCGCCCCACTCGCTCCAGTTCCATGAGCTCCATCCCCACGAGGACGATGCTGATCCGGATGCACGTGGGCTCACCGGTGAGGGTGGCGGACCTCCTTTTGCTTTTGAAGCTGGAGTTCCATCACCTCCGGTAGAGGACTTGCGCTTGCCCTTGCTTTGCTGCTGGCGCTGCTCTTGAGTCTGCTTGTTGACCACGTCACGCCTAGCAGCGGAGAGGTTGTCATGGCATAGCTGGCGAAGCTCCTCCAATGCGCAGTATTGGCTCATCTGATGCACGCCGTCCCAAGCTAAAAGGCCACGATGGGAGTCAGGTGAGTTGATGTACTCGATGTACTCACGCAAGGAGAGAATGTTTGTGCGATAGATCACGCACCATTGCTCTGGAATGTAATCCATAGCTTGTGGATAGCGATCGGGCACTACGTCGATGTAGGCCAGCCGTGCCAGAGAATGATCTTCGTCATATCCAAGGCCCAGGCTGACTTGCGCTTTGTTGCGCGGCGGGTTCGCCAAGTGAGCATGGCAAAGCCAATCCTGCCGCTGCGCTGCCCGATAGTCATAGCCCATTTGCAGCATTCGTTCCATGAACTGGACGTCATGCTCGAAGCGGTCCTCGATGCTTTGGAAGCCACACTTGTCTGCACGCTTCATTCGGCTGCGAGCATCTTGGATCATAATTGCTTCTGGGCTCATGTTTCCACGGCCGCTTGCAGACACCACACGCAAATTGAGGCCCGCCTTGATGTAGTCGCTGACTGGGCACTCAGTGCGAGCGAGGCCGGCCCTCGCAAGCTGCTGCTTTCGGAGAACTGAAAGTCTGGTGACAGCTTCTTCCGGCAGCTCGGTGTTGGTGGCAAGTTCGGCTGAACAAATGTCGCAGTGGGTCATGCCCCTGAGGACTAGACCCTTGCACTGGCTGCACTCGACCTGGATCACCGTCAGCTTTCGTCCCTTTCGAAGCGTTCGGGGCGGTGATCGGTGCATCAAAGCCAGGTGGTGGCCCCGCAGGCTCAGGCGGAGCGTACCCGCTGTAGGATGCTGCAGGTCGATCTTGCTCTGCCTCATTTGCAATGGAAGTTGGCGGAGTCGAAGGTGCAGCCTTGCTTGCAGGTGCTGCTTTGCTGGTTGCAGTCAGGGAAACAGGCATTGCTTTTGCGGTTGGCCGGGGCTCGCCAGTGATGGCGGCCCGGCTCTCACCTCCATCCGCTGGTGCTGCCTCAGGTAGGCCTACGGCACTTACCCTGGTCCAGAGTGTGGACTGGCTTTCGGTGTTTTCGACGGAAACGATGTATTCTGGAGGTACCGTGTCAACCGTCATGATTCCACCGGAGCGGTTCTGGAAAAAGATGAGACCGCCATCGACTGCTTCCCGAAGTGCAACGGTAAGCTGAATGGGGTGCTTACCGCGGAGACCGCTTTGATAGTCGGTCTCCGTAATGCGACTTGCAGCCAGGTAAGGCTCGATCACTGCCAACAAACTCGCCCCCGCCTGGGATGAGGCCCTCCTTGATGATCCGCTTCCAGCATGCTGGCCTTGTGCGGTGGTAGGCCAAGACAGGGATCTCATCCGCTTTGGCAATGGGCTTCCCAATGAAGGGAGCTTTGGCTTCTGGCCTGAGCGCAGGACTGCAGTACATCAGGGCTGCCGATCTGTAGTTGTCCTGTGCGCTCTTGATTGCGTGCTTGCTTTGGCCAGCAGCGGCACGCATCTTCAGAGGCCATAGTGCCACGCCCTTCTCCTCGAGTTTGTGCCCTTCTCGAATGCCCAAAAATTCGAATCGGTTTTTCTTGTCCTTTGCTGCTATGGCGATCAAGTCTTTGACGGTGAGCGGCGGGGCACTGCGGTGATTCAGGCCGAAACACCTGGCTACTTCATCCAAGTCTGCGTAGCCATCTTCGTCGACCTCAAGTCCCAGGAATTGGTCGTGTTGTCGGACGACCTTGGATAGCTGGGTGAGCCAATCCTTGAGGGGTTTCGCGAAGAAAAGGTGCCCGCCATTGAGCTCCCACCCGCTCGCAAAGTGGAGCGGCAATTGCTTGTCACCAAGCTGGACCACTTGCTGGAAAGCGCCATCGATCTCGGCCATCCGGTATGCATACTCGGGATATTGATCTGCAAGATACTGAGGGCACACAACGTGGCCTTCAGCAGCAGCCGGCGGCGATGAGGGTGCTTCAGGCTCGGGCTCACCCTTGACGGTGGCCGAACCTTCTTCGCCATGAGGTGCGCTTTCATCTTCAGGTTCTTCTGGCACAACCTCTTCATATGGCGATACCTCCTCATCATCAATGGCATCAATGTCGAGCCATGCTGCCGGGTTCTCGCCGGTTTCAACACGATGGCTGAGTTCCTCAAGCGTCTGGAGCCGACCCTCATAGGTTTCTCGGCTGATGTCCAGCTCTGCAGCGATCTTCTCCTGCTCTTCCTCCATGACATCTCGGCGTTGCTGGAGGATCTTTTCTGCCGTGGCGTCATTTGCGACGAAAATCTCCGAAAGGTCTGGATCATTTTCCTCCCCTTCGGGCTCGTCATCGATGACGGCCATGTCTGCCTCGGTAATCGGCGCAGCTCGGTTTGGCTGCTCCGCAGCGACGTCCTTCTTGGTAAGGGCGCGAGCGGTGAGCTCGGCTGCGGCGATTGCCCTTTTGTGGCGGACATCGGCAAGGTTTCGAAGTAGCTCTTCGTATCGCTGATGTGGAGGGAGGCGATCATCACGAAGTTCCCACCAAGCGGACGGTTCATCGGACTGGTGGCAGCTACTTCCAATGCGATATCTCCGAGAACGTAGAGTCTCATGAGCAGGTGAAATACACTCTGACAAAAAGAGAACATATGATTTGCATTCTCGTCTGATTTTTCGCAATGCCATTGGTCACGCAAGTTCATGCGGGTGTTGAGGACGTTGATGTTGACTAGGCGGAAGCGACACTTACCGATCTGGGAACCATACACTTCGTCTTGGAACCACTGACTCAGCCGGTTGTACCAGTCGCTGTAGGGTCCCAGCCGCGTGAAGTTGTAGGTCTCAGGATCGGGCGCGCTGATGAGAGCGGCCGAGTGCACACCGTATCGGAACATATCGGCGGCAAACCCAACCAGCTCTTCTTGCACCTCGTCCTGTAGCTCCATGTAGTGGTCGCCGTCAGGATGATCGAAGGGCCATGAAGTCTGAGCTTCAATTCCTTTCTTGCCGATGAGCTCGTTGCCGGACCATACCACGCCAACCAGCAGCATGCAGCCTGGAAACTGGCGCTTGAGGTTCCTCACGGCAATACGGGCTCGTTTCAACAGAAACGGCAACTCTGCACCCCAGAGGCATTCGTGATGAAAATGCTTGCAGTAAGTTGGACGATAGGCCTGAAAGTGGTCGGCCAGATCGAACCTCTGGGGTTGGCGTTTCGAACCGCTAACCAAGCACAAGGTGGAATCGGAGATCAAGATGTGTACCGTTTGGTAGTCTTGACTCGTGGGCACACCTGTGAAGGCGGCTAGATCATACCGTGAGGTCCGAATCAATGGACCCAACTCCTAGCCATGGGTTCTTCCGCCAGCACGGAATGTGCTGTGTGCTGGCCAAGGACGCCATTCAGCACCGCGTCCACATCCTCAGAATACCCGTCTTCGAGGTAGTAGCCAGAGGCCACAATCTGCCGAAAATGCGACTCGAAGATGTCCAAGGTTTCCCTGCGCATGTCATGGTCAGCCGACATGATGTGATCAACAATGATCGCTGGCAGGGCGCGCTGCGCGACGGCGGCAGAATGACTTGAGCTGCTATGCTTAAAGCAGCGATGAACAAGATCAGTGTATTCAAACGTGTAACCTTCAGCACTCTTCAATGACTTGCCTCTGCTTTGTCCATGAGTGTGATCATGTGTGCACGTGTATTGCTCAAGACATGCAAGCTCATGAAGATTTGTGCATATGTGCCAACTCTTACGCATAAGATTACCGTGATTATCGCGCACACCAAACATGCATCCATCGAAGTTGTACCCTTGCAAGTTGTGGCGTTTGATGAAAGCCAACACCGACGGCCAATGCCAGTAGCGACAACGACGGGAAAGCTCAAAGGCAACAAACGTTCTTGAGTCAAGGTGGTCACGCACGAGCCTTGCGAAGCTCTTGAAGAGTCTGGTAAACT